TAACAGATAATCGGAATCGAAATGTTCCTGCCCGAATCATACCCTTGAAGGATAGTGCTAAGATGAGCGAGCTGTGAAGCCTTCAGAAAACTTGCACGGACGGGGTTTGCCGTATCCTATATAGCTACAATGTGAAATAGTCTGATCAGTTGCCTGGTGGTCAAATGGGCCATCACAATGAAACGGCACCTTGAAGTGGTTTGATGGCTTGTGTGCACCTCTCGGACCCAACGAGCTACTCAGGATGGCTTTTGTCAAACCGAAGATCTAATTATGCTTGGAAGGTCGAAGGATAAAGGTCAGACGAAGTTCAGTTTCCCGGTCCTCCAGGTTGGGGGTTCAACTTTAGTTGGCATATCAGTCTGTTAAACGTGTTGTAGAAGTAATTGATCCAAGTTAATGGGCCTCCGATCCACCGTAACCGCTGCCTTGCAGTTAGGTTCTTGTCAAAACTAAGGGCTTTGGTTGAGAGCCCTAATCGTTCTCCTGCTTCGTGGTTGAACTCTCTGGCAGTACCCGACCATACAGCTCCGATAAACACACTTCTTGGCAGCGATCGGTCAACTTTGTTTCACTGTATCTCTCTGTACAATGAAGGTGACGCTTGAATTCCACCTGTGAGGTCTTAGTTGGGTCGATAGATTTGCACTATTAATGACTTCGACGCGCAGTTCAGCTAGCCAGGCGCTAACCAGGCTATCTCCTCTGGTGTAGCTGAGGCTCCATGGGTAGTGTCATCTGAACCTCCTACTGTAGCAGACGTTTATTCTTGCATCCAAGCCCTGGAGAAAAGAAAAGCAGCAGGGTCGGACGGGCTTCCTCCCTTTCAAGATGGGGGGTGATGACCTTGTGGACTCCATTACTGATCTAACGCGTGACATCTGGTCGCACGAGCGCATTCCATCATAGAGCGAATCACTGATCGTTCCAATTTTTAAGAAAGGATCTCGCAACGACTGCGCAAACCACCGTGGAATAAGTTTGATTCCAATCTTCACCAAGTTACTAGCCTCCATCATAGTTCGACGTCTGACGCTGTTTTGGGAGACAAACATCCGCGAACAACAATCAGGATTTCTATCAGGTCGCGGTTGTATCGACCAAATCTTCACTCTTCGTCAAGTTCTCGAGCTACACCATACGCACTGCCGACCAGCGGCTGTCGTGTTCCTTGACCTAAAAGGAGCCTTCGACTCAGTTGATCGTGAATCCATTATGAGTTCGCTCCTTCGCAAAGGAATGCTGCAGAACCATGTGAACATACTGAGTTCACTTTACCCACATATCTCTGGTAGCGTAAGGGTCCACGGCGAGCTGAGTAGGTCGTTCGTAACTGGTAGCGGTGTTCGTCAGAGTGCCCTCTTTCGTCCTTCCTCTTCAATTTCGTCACTTAATGGTCTCCAAAGTGTTGGTATTGAATGGGCAGCTGGAGAAAAGCTGTACGATTTGGAGTACGCTGACGACGTCGTCTGCTTGTTCGAATGAATGAAGAATGCACAACAAGCACTTGACACATTAGCAAGTGCTGTCTCTCCGTTCGGCATGTGCTTTGCACCTTCAAAGTGCACAGTGATGCTGCAAGACTGGGTGTCACCGAGTTCTGTTCTGAAACTAGACGATCAG